TTGCAACCAATCTTTAACTATGGTATCGGCTCGTATCGCTTCAGCGACACAATATGGCCGACTGGTTTTTTTCGCCCTCATATCGTATTGGGTATCGGTCTGAACATGTGGGTTGGCTGATACGACATGGAAAACCTCCAAAAAGTCGTATCGTGTCGGATTGGTTCGGGCGCTGCCGGTGAGGAAAGCAGTCTTGATGTCGAACGTTTCAAATTCAAGATCATCGGAAGCAGCAACAGCACAGATAGCGTATAGCGACTCCTTCACACCAACAGATGCATAAGTTTTAGTGAAATCAATTCCTTGAATTTGCTTGTTACCTAGAATGACCCATCTAGCCTTGTAAGCGGTGATTTCGCCGAGGTGTTGCGTTTTCGTTTTAGTCTCCACATACCACCTACAACGTTCATCTCTTTTGTCCGCTTGACCAGTCTTCCAACTCGATGTTGAACAAAAGATGAGTATTCTTCCTGCATAGCCTCCATCCAACGATCTTTATCCTCACCTTTCATTGCTTGTTCATAGGTTGGATTGTCGGGATCATGCTTCCCAGAAACGACCACAGTGTAAGTCTTGGAATTACCAAGTCAGACAACAGGTTTGATAGTCCGTGATGGTTGGAGTTTTAAAGTCTTTAGTGCAGGTGATTTGATTGGTGAGTTGGAGATATTGTTGGTAATTGTCGGCGGGTTGGTGGGAATATTGGCAGACAGACCATTATCAATCGATGGAATTTCTTCGGCATTAGGAAACCACCAGTCTTCTATAGAATCAGATGAGTCGATTGGTGTTTCATCTCGTTGTTGATGGCTAAGAGGAAACAGTGACTCAATGAAAGTTACATCTCTGATATCATGACGTGTCTGTTGGATGGATAGTATAGACGATATGCTTTTGCCGCAACCTCATAACCCACAAGTACCTTACACATCACATTCAGATCCAGCTTCTTTCTATCCTCACAATGTACATGTGCGTATGCAGCACAACCAATTACCCTCAAAAAAGACAAGTCAGCCAAATGTTCTCCACCATCAGCAATACTCTTCATCCATGTGTTGATGGGAGCATCGTTTGTGACAGAAGATGGCGATAGATTGAGAATGTAAGAAGTTGCCATAACAACCTCACCCCATAGATGAGCTGGTAGGTTAGCATGAATCATTTGGGCACGAGTCTTCTCCATGATTGTTTGATTGAACCTCTCAGCAACTCTAGATCCTCTTCTTTCAACACGGCTCTATTAGTGTTATGTGGTAAAATAGTAAAATATAAAAACACATTTTGATAACTCGCTTCACATCCGTCTAGACAAATGCAGTGTAGCATGGTTCCCTGCCGGGGCAAATTCAAACACCAAACCTGGGAGCACGAATAGTAAGACACCCTTTCTGATGTGTCTGTCTGTAGCTTCAAAGAACCTCATTGAGTGCTGAAGCTCCTCACATCCCGTGGTCTTTTCTACACCAGTTTGTATAGACAGAAATAATGCTTTCACCTGCAAAACAGTTGAAGCATTTGAAGATATGCAACAACGGGCACCCAGTCAAGTTCTTTCCATGTAGCACAGAACGTTCTGTATAGTGAAACCTTCATTGGGTTTTGCTTTGCTATATTTTATTTTTTAACGACAATCAAAGGCTGATTGTGTTACATCTTGATCATCAAAAGCGGGTACCGATTGTACTAAAGATGGCGGAAAGATAAAGGACACAATCTGTCCTGGAGGTTATCAGCGCTATGGGGCAGTGTGTAAGTCAGGCTTCTCAAAAGCTCAAACCTCATGATCTTCTACCCATACAACTTCTTTCGGGTTATCTTTACTTACATATATGTCTATCAACAGTCGAGTGCTACCAAAAATTTGCTACCAAAGAGTCGGTTCAATGCCAAAACGCGCAAGTTATGCGTGTGTTGATAATTCTATCTTTCAAAAAACTTACCCTCCCCATCTATGAGATATGACCGCAATGCGACTGACACTTGTTTTGTATCCCGTTTTGTTGACTAAAGTTGGTAATAATTGCAAATGATTAGCCAAATCTTCTCTTCCAATACCTCTATCCGGTTTGGCCTCTGTTTTGAAATCCATTCCCTCTGCAACAGAACACAATTTTCTTGCCCTGGCAGTGGAAAGGCATGGGAAATCCAAAATTCCTTACATACATGGTTTATCTTTTCTTGTCTTGCAAACAAATAACCCACTGTACATTCCTCTCCAGGTTGTCACTGTATTTGTATTTTCTTTGAACATATCATCTGGTCCACTTCCTTCCATCTCCTGACATGATCTACATAAATTTCTCATACATTGTACATCCTCAAAGTATCATCTTGATCTTGAGCTTTCACAATCTCCATTTGGCTGTAGCACGTTGACATACACACCAAGGGTTGTGTAATCAAATAATGATGAATCTTTGCTCCTATTGTGAAACTGAGAGTTCTTTGTATACAAAGGAGCTGTTTTGCAAATGCCTGCTAAATTTTTTGCCAGTTGTCTCTAGCATCAACTTGACTGCACCTGATGTGTGTGCTGGCCACGGAGTGGCTATGTCAAATCTTACTGACTGATGATAAAAGGATGTTCTTGCCACTAACCATGAAAGCTGAACAACAATCATAAGGGGTTTAGCAAATGTATTGCAAAAGATTTACAGATGAATGGTCACAAGGACACATGATTGTCATTGGAGGACCATCTTCCTTCCATATTGCTTTGCTTTGTGAAAGGAAAAAAAACCAGTTTGCAGAAGAGAAAGTTTTGAAAAAATAAACCAACTGTTGTTAGAATGACTTTATCTTTTCAATGAGTATGTGTACAACATGGTGGCAAATACATACCCTTCCAGCATTAAAGAGGTTCCTGGATGGGAAAGTGGGTACCAGATTCCCCTTCTGCTACTGTTGAACAGCCCCATAAATTATTCCCGAGTAGCCATTGTAATATATGCAGTCAAGTTTTCAAGATGCTTGTCTCAATCTCAACAAAATTACAGCATGTATCACATGTAACTTTCTGATCCAGATGAACAGATAAGTGAGCTGATCTGTATGTAGCCAATAGCTAGTAATTTACTCAGATGTTTGCACATGTGTAGCATATGCTTGATGGCTCAGTTGCACAGTGCAAGATGGTCTCATGACATGACCTACTCTCAATCATGTTCCCAGCCTAGGTTGCTTTCCCACCCGGGAACCTATTTAATGCTGGTGGTGATAGTTTCTTGCACACCGGCACTACAGGAGTCAAGTCATTGCCTTGATCCTCTGCAAACTTGCATGTCTGATCTTGGGTGATTGGCCACCCAAAGATCCTTGCAGGTTCACCATTGTCCAATTGATATAACTCTTGTACACAAATCTCCCACTCTATCCATCAAGACTGAACTACAACAATTTACCCCACATCAATATCATCATACCAAAATGACTATGATGTTTCAAAGAGGGCATGTGATTTCTGAATCCACATTAAGAACCACAGAAGTTGGTCTTGACTTCAAACTCTTCCTATAGATTCAGGTATACATTTTCTAACTCTGATTATCAAGGCATAGTCTAAATCAATTTCAGATTTGTTGATTTTCCTTATTTTCAATCCAAGGTCTGAAATCAATTAAGAGAAATATTTGATGTTTCTAAAACACAGTTTTTTTAAGCAGGAATTCATTTTCTTTGAAGGATTCTGACCATCTAAAAATTTGAGAATGTAAAGAATATACCAAGTAAAAAGATTCTTTGAAATCAATAGTTCACTTCTCAGTGTTAAAAGTATGTAGATCTAGAAAGTGATGTAAATAAATAACACCGTACCTCAAAGAATAATCAAGAAAGGCTGTTATTTGTCTTTGCAGAAGTAATCTCAGCATACAATTGAATCAAAAGATTCTTTTCTCAAAATATAAAATCAAACCTTGAATTGTAAAAAACAGAATGTAAAGCAAATTTGAAGATAAAAGATCTATACATAGATTTTCACAGACACTTGTTTAGGGTATGTTTGGTTGTGATTTCAAAAATAAATTTTGTTTGACCACTGGTACATTGCCCTAGGTCAAAGGAGTTTTGTTTTGAAATCAAGCTTTTTTTTAAATAAACTCTATTTACAGTACATTTGAGAAAAATATGTTGTTAAAAGTCCATGGCTCATCTTCTTCTGATGGAAGTTGAACTGATCAATCATCACTTTTCAAGCTTGTAACAGTAATTGAAGAACTTGAAGAAAAAAGATAGTAATTGGATAATTCAAAAAATAGATATTTTAAGATATTGAAATGAATGATCACAGAAGTTATCGAACCAAACCGGGTTGCCAAAAAAACCAGTACACCAGGTTGAACTTTTGGCTGGGAGATGTCAAGAGCTGTCAATCAATGTTAACTTGATACACAAAGTTACTATCAGAAAAGCAACTGGGTTGACCAGCTTTTTTGGCAACCAGGTTAGGTTTGAGTTAAGTTAGGTGTTGAGATGACATTTTGCCTTGTAGTCCAAGAAAGAGTTCATCAACAGGAAAAAAATCATTTTTTGCAGTTTTCCAAAAGGACCTTTTGAAGTCCTTTTGGGACGGGAATCATTTTTTTGTGGACCCGTAACCGCTGCCAAACTATATTTTTTCTCGGACAGATTTTTCTTCAATTCCAACATTTTTTGGGAAAAAAAACACCAAAAGAAAACACAACAAAACATACCCTTGAGTAATGAAAACAAATCTGCTTTAACATCTTCAAGCCCTATTGTTTCATTAAAATATTGGTTTAACTAAAATGTTTGCTAATCTTCTTCATATCCAAACACCACAAATCCAACAAAAAGAATCAGAAATTTTATATAAAAAAAGACTGTAATTTAAATTTGCATTTGATTTTGAATGTAATAAAAATTGATAAATCCAATTTCAGCTAAAGTTAGATACAACACATCTCATACAAAGAAACACACACACCACATCTCCGCACAATGGAAAAACTCTCTCAAAGAAACCTATCACTTCTCTTTCATTGTTCTTCAGTTTCTTTTTCTTTTCCTTTTCCCTTCTTTTCATTCTGACCTTCATCTTTTTCATCTTCACCTAAAGCTCTCTTCAACCTCTTAGAACAGCCATTCATAATCTCTTGAATTTCAATCATCAATCTCAATTGATCTCTTAATCCATCTTTAACAAAATCTGAATTTTCTTCTAATTGAAACTTTCTAGTGGGTAAAACTATTGAACTTGGATCAATCTTCAATCCTTCACTTGAAATCAATTGATTTAAGTTTCCAAGTTTTAAACTTTCAGGTACCTTGTAAGTTTCAGTATCAAATAATGGAATCAAACATGGTAATTCTTGATCCAACATTTTCGTTTCTAATCCTTTTCTTGCTTTATATTCTGATGTGGATGTGCTTGTTGAGGAGGAGGTTGATCGTGGTAATAGTGGATCAAATGAATTTGGCAAGTTGAGTGAGCTGGTCGAAAATGGATTAGACACTGGGATGCCAAGGGCTGTAGCAGCTCTAGGCGTGTTATTGGTAGGAGCTTGGCTATCAGCTTGCTCCGTCGGCAGACTACTGATATCTCCATCACCCAAAGAATCGACAGGTGAGATCGGTGGTGAAGGCCTCATTGTATTTGCGCTCTCAGGTGGTACTGGGCCAGACTGATAAGGATACTGATATCCAGTAGATCGAGGTACTTGGGCCGAACTAAGGGAATTAGACTGTACAAGCGAAGGCTGCTGTTCATGTAGAGGATTGACAACTGGAGAAATAGGAGCTGATGGTAAGGATTCATTGCGAGGTTGCATTTGTTGATGATATTGAAGTGGTTGGTTGAGTAAGATTTCTTGTCTTCGCGCCACTTCTGCTGCACCTGATTTATCTGCAAGCTTTTTCTTTTCGTAATCAGTTAGTGGGGTTTTTCGACCGAGGGTCGGTGCACTCATGTGATAAGGATATTCACCGAATGAACTAGTGCTATAGGTCGACGGCTGTGAAGGTAGTGAAGGTTGAGGTGTTGAGGGAAGAACTACAGGTGGCTCAGATGCAGGTGGTACAGCTCTTCTTGGGAGCGTATTAGGTGGGTTAGGGATTTCGAATGAGAGTAAGGGGTTGGGAGGCAGAGGGCCAGAGCTGCCCGCTAGCTGGTTCTGTTGCATCGGCGGTCTCATCGCTTGTATACTGCTGGCAGAATACTCAGTAAGCCTCAGATCCGGCGTCAGATAACCCATGGTATCTAACGGATTGACTAACCGTTGTTGGATTTCACGGGCCCGGTTCGCAGCCTCCTGCCTCGAAACAAGATGTCCGGGCCGAGGCCCTGTTCCGGTACCGAGGGGCTGAGGTAGTCCACCTTGAGCAGGTGGAACTTGAGGCTGACCGAATGCACCTGCTGCAGGAAGTTGTGGAGCTGCAGCATGTACTGGAGGAGCAATGGGTTGACTTTGAAGAACAGGTCGTCGGCTAGAAGAAGATGCAGTATAAGTGCCAAGACCAACAAAGTATAGATGCATTAGACAATTGTGGCGGGAAGGAAAGGTGACGACAAAGCAAGTCAAAGGGTCCAAAGACCACATACCAAGTCGGACAAGTTTGCTGACGCTCCAGCCAACTTCGAAGGCAATGGAAATGAAAGACGTGACCACAAGGAAGTTTTTTAGGAGTATCGTTGGGTCCACCGCCTGCGCCAGCATTCTGAGCTTCGTTAGCTGGTCTTGCCGCATCTGCACGAAATTCCATATCTTCACGACATATAATACACGTTTTGTCAATCAAAGCATCCATTTCTTCTTGTGTAGCGTTTGGATAGCGTTCATTCATGTTTCGGGTAGCTTGTCTAAACCTCATCAAGTTATTACACTTGGTTATAAACGACCTTGCAGTGTAATACACATCCCGAATCACGTTGATCGGTAAACCGTAAAAAGTGAGGGTCAGAGAGAGGAATCCGATGTAAGTGAGTAGTTTGAGAAAATCAGTGCCCAATTCGATGTAGAACACATAAGTTGATTTTTCCTCCCAGTGTTCCTGGGCACGGTATTGACCATAAGAGTTGATTAGATATTTGGCTATAATCGATAGACATGTGACAGACATGATGATGTACTAAGAACACATTTCATCAGATATTGATTATTGACCAGTCAATAAATGTGAGTTTGATGTGACTTACCTCCATCTCAAACATCAAAATCACACTTGCTCCTTCAGAAAGAATAGATTCAGTTGCATAGGCAATGAGCAATAGATCGGTAATCCATATAAGTGACAATACACTAATCATTCGAGCGTGAAATAATCGTCCGGGTGGAGTGGGAGATTGATCCATCTGAATGAAACAGAATGGGTTTGAGAGTCAGTGAGGTGAAATCAAAGAATCAAGAATAGTGACTGAATAAGGAAGAATTAGTAGGTTACCCATTCGACTCGATCCGATGCCAACCAGTGGAAACATTTGACAAAGATCAAACTAATGAATAAGACGACAAATGTTGTATCAAACTCATCCCGAAACATCGCCAAGGCAAGTAGAGTCTCAGTGACGGTGAACCATAGTCGATCATGCAATCTTCCTATTTCGATTGACCTCAGGTTTCCGAAGAAGATTGATTGAAGGACCTTTGAAAGGATGACGGTACAGAAGATTCCAAAGTTACAAAGGATCTGGTATACGACATAAACTGATTTAAGCCAATGATCAATCAAGGATAGAAATCTATTCAACAGCTTACCATCATACATGCATTGCTCTTACTCAAGTAAACAGATGCACTATAAAAGTTGGATCTCTGTCTGAAGGCTGACAAGATAGCCGAAGTGGCGAAAAGGGTTGAAGCAGCTCCATAGACGGCCAATCGCATAGCTAAGGACGTTCAGAATATGAACTGTTGAGCTTGATGATGAGATGATATTTATATTTCGATTGGATGTTTGATGATGTTGCTGTTGACCTTGGCGAATGAGGTTTAATAATGAGGTTTGAAGGTGTTTGATGGTGAAGATGATGAATGGAAATTGCTCAGAGTCTACATACAAATTCATCAATTACATGTCTCAAAGTCACATAGTTGACACGTCGATACTTATAACTTCGATCGTTATGCTACAACTTAAAGCCTTGAGCATCAGTTGGTGTCAAAAGCAAAGGATCAAGAGAGCCCTTTCTGATCAGTCAATTCGATTTTAAAAATCCAAAAAACGGATGCCAAGTACATTTTACCAGAAGTTGTTAACATGTCTCGATATTTGCATTTTCGAAAAAAAGACTTGAGCAATCCGCATCAAGATCAAAACTAAGTCAACTTATCAAGCCTTCTTCCACTCATAAATCGATGAATAGATATTCTCTCAGAACTTATTATATTGGTGTTTTTCAAAAGAATCAGGGCCCAACACTTTGGATTTATGTTCTTTGACTTTGCTCAACTTTTACCGTGTAGTGAGTAAATACTATGTACAATTTCGCAAAAAGTGACTCTGTACTTTCAGAGGTGAGTGTGAGAAATCACGAACCAGAGTCTAACATGAGTTAAGAAGTATGCAGTGTAGAGTTGATGATTTGTGGCAACGGTTATGATGCAGATTCGAAAGAACTATGCAAAGGAATCAAAATTGCAAGTTTGGCGAGAAAGTTGATTGACTGAGAAAAGGAAAAGATTCAAGTCCATAGAACAAAGCAATTTCAAATTTCTACGCTGCCAAGAAACACCTCGTCACTCGGGTGGATAGATCCGAGTTGTTTTCCTCTTTGCAGTGTGCGCCCTTACCACCGGTGACCCTTAGTTTTGTACCCTCGGAGACTAGTCGGAGTACACCTGCCCGAGAAATGACTCCAAGCTCTGGCATCTAGCCTTGGCCCTTGTTCAAACGGAAAACCCTCAACAAAACCGGCTGAGGGCATATCCCTTGCGAGGCATCTAGGTTTACATTCGAGAGCATCTCGGATCTTCAACTCCGATGGATCTTGATTGTTGATTTTTTTACGCATTGCTTAATGCTCCTTGCCTCAATTCTGAAGAGAAGTCAAGCCGGTTTTGTGGAGGCAGTGCGAAGGGATATCTAGTCTAGCTTACGAACAACTTACCTCAGCAACGTCCCACGCTCACTCCTGGCGAGTGCATAGTCGAGTTTGTACCTGGTGTGAAATGACTTTATCGTGTGTTCCTTCGGAAAATTTGAGATCGGAGCAGCGATGCAACAATTTCAATGAGTGACTTTCTGCCAAGAGGTGCTGACAGGATTTGAACATGAATCTTTGACTCAAAGCCAACTTCCAAGCGCTGACTCTTGAACTTTTACGTGAACTGTTCTGTCATGACCACATGAACGCGACTGATTCATAAGGTCACACTTGAGAGGGTTTCTCACGGAACTAGCAATTACCACACGGTTGCAAGGTCTTGGCAGTCTCGGACGCGTATGTTATGTTTTGACTAAAGACGACAAACAACAAGGGGGTGCTGGAGTGACGAGCACCGGCCGTACGCACTCAGCTCGAGTATATAAGGAGAGGTCTGGGAGGGCGGTTTGTTTCTCCAGACCATCACATCGTCCATCAACCACAAGCTCACTCACAAAACTCAGTATCTTAGATCTATCTACCACGTTCCAAAAACCATCATAACCTTTTTACCAAAATGCAATTCGGTCTCAAGTTCTTCACTCTGCTTGCTCTTGTTGCGCTTGTTGGCTCTACTGTAGGACAACGTGAGTCACCACTGAAGCTTTCTTTTGAGATTGCCCGGCTGACTCTTTTGTTTTTTCTTCTCTAGCTGTGGCCAATGCGGAAGGTAAGGTTGCATAGATTTGAATGTCGACTCTTGATCATTTACTAATCTCTTTCTCCGTAGCTGCTGGTGAAACTCTCTTGGTAAAACGATGGAACCAATGGAACACAGCCTGGGGCCGAAATGTGTTTCTCCGAAATCAACACTGGGCAGTGGGCACTCAAGCAATCCCATGGGCACTCGGGTTGATAAACAAACAACCTGTCGGTTGGCACAATGGGGGGTGGTACAGTGTACCCCTAAACGTGTTCCCCAATGGTGTGCTGCCTACGAACCCCGTTCTCCCAAACTTCGGTTCCTTCATTAACAGCGGCCCCCCAGCCGGCTGGTTCTAAACCACGCGTTTAATAACCCTTCCTTTCACATAGGTCGAAAACTGTGAGTATCTTGCTTGAATTCGAATGACGGGTAAATACTGACATGGAAATTTGTTCCAACAGTATGTCATGCTTCGCGTCCATCTGTTCTGAGCTTATATCCTCTGGATCTTCAGCTCGCAATATGAACATTTTCTCTTCATTTTCTTCTGGTTTTGTTATTCAAGCCTTTATCGATTCCTGTCATTGATTCACGATCCCGTTCACATTGTCGCTTCTTTATGTACTGAATCCTTACGGTCGTCTGTTGAATGTTTTTTACTTGTTCTATTGTGTTGTTCACGTGTCTTCAGCCATCAATCAGATATCATTGTGCTGTATTGCCATACAAGTCACTAAGTAACCGTGAGTGTTGAGAGGTTGCTCAGCTGTGAGTATGTTTTAGCATCTTTTGCAAAACCTCACTTGTGTCGGTCAATCGCTTCATATTTAACATGTTGAATATGTCTTTGCATTTTGTGGCGCATAACGAACTCTTCATTATGCTGGATAAGATACCGCACGTGCCACAGCATTCATCATTTCAAGATGAAATGAATTGATTGAATCTTAATGCTCGGGATCGACTCAGAGAGAAGTAGTTTGATATTTTCTAAGTTAGCCATCAAACCGAGTTTACCAATTTATTAAAAATGGTGAAGATGTTACGATTGAGTTTAAGGTCCAGCCTTTAGCAGATGAACATCAATCACTAAGCAGTGAAATACAAATAGAATCAAAACTTCATTCTTAATTTTCATAATAACGGTCAACAACAAGCATCATCATCAACAAAAACAACAGATAATATTCTCACAATACGCTTACAATGATTCCTTCTGGTCAATACCTTTTGATCTCATTCATTCAAATGATCCAGAAGTTATGCAACTGATTTTGTTTTAACCATGTATTCAGATTTTTCAAAAATTGAAGTTAAGAATAAGTTGATGGAAATCGATGGGGACGAATTGTAAACTATCTTTCTTCTTGTTCCTTGAATATGGTGGTCATCATCAGAACATAAGGCAATCCAATGATGAAGGAATCAAAAGTTGCGGCAACGGCAAGTCGATTCATGAAAACTTTCACGAACCTCATGTGGGTTTCGTTTGGGCTAATCTCGCCTTCGGAGCCTCAGGTCACCCCGGGCTATTGTTGGGTTGGATAAAATCTCGGACTGGTTTCAACTTGTGAAGATCGTCCTGAGATTGAGGATTTACCCAGGTCTCAGAGCTTAGTAGGATTCTTTTCAAAACTTGCTCTTGCTTGTGACGAGATACTCATTTCAGCTCTCCATTTAGAAACTTTCTCTCGCTCTCAGCCTCAATAAATATATATGTCTCATATGGCAGTATAGGAACTACATCTCGTACACTCCGTAATGTGATACTCGAGTGCGCTCCTGAAGAAACTAATGGATTGGTTCCTTTTGACGACGCAATTCAAATTGAGATCTTAGCATGCTACAAATGACCCCCCATATGAATTTGTACGTCCCGAAATGGTTGGTGATGATCGAATTTTTTAATTTGCTGCGTACTAATCAAAAATTACCCAACGAAGCTCCCCCACTCAGATCGAGCTCTTTGTGTATCACATTACCTCGAGTCTATTCATCTGAACGGCCTTACCCACCACCTTCACCTCAACCTTCAGCTATTTGAAGGAATGACTCTTGCTTAGCTAGAAGAGCATTCAAAAATCAAAACTTCCTATTTGAGCATTGTTTTCAAAATCTACAGCAAAAACTTCAAGGTCTCAAAAGCTTATTGCATCATCTTACAAGCACTCGATATCTTTTTCTCATCCAAACAATCTAGATCTACTCATTACTCGCGAAGCAAAGACTTACTCGCATCACCACCTTGGAATGGAAATACAGTAATGTTATTCAATTCAATTGGTCAAACTTGGTTAGAACAATCCCAACAGAATGAACTCCAAGAAACTTGCACTTCAATCTCATCAGTTTATTAGTTGGTGTTGATTTGGGAAGTTTGGTATCATTTACTTTCACTCCTTTAATCAGATCATCAACTTCTCATCTCACAACTTACTCATCACCTAATTTGTTCACAGATCAAGAGAAAAGCTTTGTTGGAATCAGTCATTTGATTCCAAAACTTACAAGATCATTCAATAGTTTTATTAATCCAATTTTCAGGTTTTGTTGTTCTTTTTTTGAGGAAACCCCGATTGATCAAATACCACTCACTTCATTTATCAACATCAACATCAACGCTTCACTTCACTTCACTTAACTTCATTTCCAACACAAGAATATTGAAGATGGAAAATATAGATAACACCACTTCAGCAACTAATGTGAGTAAACTTCCTCAAATCTCATCAATACATATCATACAAACTCTTATTTCTCCAAGAAGATTGATCCTTTTCAAGTGCTTGATCACTTGACTCAACTGTTTTGATTGCTTTTCTCTGAATCAGGACAGTAAACAAGAACCTAAATTACACTTTGAAACCTTGGTTGAAGTTGATTTATATAAGTTCTTGATTGTTCTGTCTCTGCATGTCTTCAACCTCCAACTGCACACTGAAATCCATCTCAACTCAGTCTCTCTGCTCAATCTGCTGTGGCTGATTCTCCCAAGTATGGTATGGTTATTAAGATCCACAAAGCTTGGACTGGTAATTTTCTTGGTAATTATGGTGTAGATGGACATCATTTGAAGAAGAACCGTTTACCTTATATCAATCCTCTCAAGTTCTTTGCTGCTATCCCTGTCATGAATGGTACCATCTTTGAAGCAGTCTTGAGTGAAAATGACTACAAGGTTATTCAAAGAGATTCACCTCTATATCTCTGGTTAAGCACTTTCATCTCTTTTGACTAACCTGCACTTTATCCTTGGACTCATTCAATTGTTTTACCTTTACTCTAGCTCTACCAGTCTTGGTATCTGCATGTTACTACTCCTCTCAGGTTGATGGTTGATTGCACCATTGTGGGATGCAGACAGTTCCTCATGCCAAACTATGGATTTAACATAAACATACACTCAAGCCATTGATCTCTTGGGCTAGACTTGAAATAATTCGATGCGGATTTTAATCTACGCAATAGAGCATAAGAATAACCTGGACAGACAGGTGTAAGTACGGAGCTCTATGAAAAGACTCGAATAGATGTAAGGAGACTGGCGGAAGAATTCAACGCCTTCCCTGGACAGACAGGTGTAAGTACGGAGCTCTATGAAAAGACTCGAATAGATGTAAGGAGACTGGCGGAAGAATTCAACGCCCTACCTGCGGATGAGCAGGAGTACAAAAAAGGACGGAAAGACTATTTGAGACGTGATGAGCACACAACCAGATAAACAGTGATAAAGTTAGGGGAAGTGAAAATACGTACTCTTGAGCTATCTTTTCCTAACGGTGAGGAAGGAAGAGAGAGCTCGAGAGAGAGAGCGTATATGTGGAAAAGTTCAACACACAAATAATCATACTAGAAGAATTCAGCAAGGGGTATGAAACAACTTCATAGTTGAACGCGCACAGGAAATAAAGGAACTATTCTCAAAGAGGAAAGACACGCTCCATTCAGACACATAGACCATCTCACATTCCAACCACCATCCTGATTCGGAGAATCCAGTTCAATCCAGATTACCTTACTCCTTTGCTTTGAAACCATCCCTCATTCTCTGATCACATCATGTACACACTCCCTTCCAACTACCAGAACTCGAATTGTTACACACACACATATGTCTTGATTGTGAAGGACTTGAAAATGATGCATATCCTTTCTACCACAACAAGACTGACTTGTGCAATGCTTATCCAACCATGTTGAGTTAGTTAACCTGTCCTGGCAATTGCTGCCCTTCAATAGGGTTAATTTAAAGTTTTTAATTGTTCTATCTCTCAATTTGATTTAAAACCAATAGAAATCATGACTCCAATTTTCAATCTGCCTTTGATAGCCTCTTTTTGTTTTCAATATATATACTGAGACCAAAACCCATGAAGAAGAAGAAAAAGTCGTTCTGAAACCGTCAGTCTTTCTCTTTTCTCTCTTTGTGATAGACTTTATATGGGCTTATTAGCATTTTGAATTTCTGATTTTGAACTACAGTTGAGCCAAACTTTTCAAATTAGATGAAGACACTGGGGAATGACGGATCCACTTTGGCCAAGAATACCAATGCTACACCTGCTCATGGAGTGCAAAAAGGGAATTCACATTTTTATCTCATCACTTTATCACTTGGTGTTGATTTGGAAAACTTGCTTCCATTTGATTTCACTCCTTTGATTAGATCATGAACTCTTCATTTCTCAGCTTACTAATTACCTAATTTTTCAATATGTCACTTTTTGTTTGCTCAATTTTGAATTAGATTGAGAACAAGATAGACCATGCCCGTCAGATGATCATTTCTAATGAGTTGAATGTGAAAAAGGATAAAGGTCTTGAAGAGAGGGAAAAGAGACTTTAGGATAACTTGCAAAAGATTTGAGCCAGTAACTAAATCTAACACAATCAATACAAGCCAAGTCCACAGCATAAGGTGCTAATACCAGCATAAAAAGCAATCAAGAATTGGTGAACTTCTGGGAAGCCAGATTGAGTAACTTCAAAGGAAAACATTTTGATGAAAAATTGTTATTCAAAGAGGATGATATTGAATCAAAGGTCCAATTATTACAACTATCACCTCTCTTCCTGATTGATCACCACTTGATGAGCAAAAACAAAGTTTACCCCACATGCACTACTCAATTAACTCCTTCAACTGGTTGCATCACATGTTGTCAGAATTTATTGTGTAATAAGAACTGAAGTGGCAATGTGTTATAAGCAACTGTTGTATTTGGTATAATATCATTTACCGCTCATCTGGTTTGACTGAACATAATCAACTTTGGTTTAGCTGTCAACCAGAGGAGTTTTTGCAGAGCAAAAACTCCCAACATTGACAATTAAATTTAATAAGAAAACTACATAT